GGGGTTTGTGTGTGGATTTGTATTTATATTTTTTGTTTGAAGTTAATTGTGTCAACAAAATTAAACATAATGCTTCTGTTTTTCATGGTAGCTACATTGGTTATAGTTATGAGGGTGGTAGAAAACAAGAAAATGCAGCCATGGAACATATCCATTATCTTTATTTGTTATATTTGGTGAATGAGATAAGTGAAATATGATTTGTGCAGTCTGCAAATTTTAAATAAAATATGGTTAAGCTTTTTTTTTTTTTTTTTTTTTTTTTCCTTTTGTGGGTGCACTGCTTACTGGATATGTGTGCACTGCAAATATGTTTTGTGCAATCTGCAAATTTTAAATAAATGGTGGGTATGCATTTTTGTTTTTCATCCGCTGGGTGCACTGCTGCTTTAGGGGTGTGGCGGAGTTCAGTGTTTATATGGCACTTAGTATGTGTCCTTTGTTGTCATTTTAATTTTTAGTTTGGAATGGTTGGTGGATCACATGCTTGGTTGTGTTTGTTCTTTTTGCAGCTAAAAAGTCCAGGTGCGCACAATCGGATGCGGGTCTTTCTGGAGTATCTGATGGCGATAGTGATTTTGTGTCGCCCCCGCCTAGGGTGGTACATTCCAGGTTTTAGCAAGAGCCACCGCAGGAGGATGTTTTCGAGTATGAGTTGACCGTTGAGGAGGATGCGTTGTATCCTAGGGCGAAAATGAGGGGACAAACGGGGGTATTGGTAAACGCTTTGAAGGATCTTAGCTTTCAACAGAAGGCTGACATTCGGGAGCTCGGGTTTGGGGCGTTGCTTGAGTTCAACATTGTGGACGTTCCACCGCGTCTTTTGCGATGGTTACTATTTAATTTTGATTCGCAGTCGAAGTCATTTGATCTTGGGGGTGGGAGATCATTGGTTGTCGATGAGAGTGATGTCGAGTTGATTTTGGGGTTTCCACAGGGTCATGTTAAGATGGTTCCACGGGATAAGCTTAAGGTGAGCAACACCCTCAAACATTGGAGGGGTCTATTTCAGAAGCGGAAGCACAGGGTGACTGCGGCGGAGATTAGTCAGAGGATGGTGGAAGCCGTTGATGGTGGACTCTGGTTTAAGCGGCATTTCCTTGTGTTAGTCTTGTCGTCCCTGGTTTGTTGTATGTGTAACGGTTACTCGAACCAGATGTATTTTCATCATTTTGAAGATGTGTCAAGTGTCCGTGATCTAGACTGGTGCAAGCTTGTGGTCGACACTTTAGTTGAGACGCAGGCTGCGTGGCGTTCTGGTCGGCATAAGTTTTTTCTTGGGCCGGCTGAGTTCATTACGATATTGTTGCTATTCTTGTCGTGAGTTATGTGTGTTGTTTTATTTGTTCCAACTAATATTGTAATATTTTTTCATGTATTTCTTTTTGGTGTTTTTGTAGTTGCTTTATGTAGATCGGGTTGTGCATGGTGTCCGCGTTGTCCCTCGGTCTGTACCTGCTCTTCGTGGGTGGTCGTCACCTTTGCTACGTCAGCGTGAGTTCGTTGAGATTCGGAGTGGAGGGTTTGGCCTTGGTGGCATTGAGCCCCCGGTTCAGGTGTGTGGTGGGGGGGATGAAGGTGATGATATCCCGCCGGTTGAATATGGGCCTAGGGTATGGGTTTTTTTTTTTTTTTTTTTTTGTTGGTTTGCTTATGTTTATGTTTTAAGTGTGCACATGTCTTTTGCTGCGGGTGCACCTGTCATTCAAGGTGTCTTTGTGGCTTTTAATCGCACTTATTCGCTTTGTTGTCTTGTTTTTGTTTGGATAGACATTTGGTGATGTTGTAATTCAAACAACAACGAAGATAGCGAGAGAGGTGTTAGAGTTGGTGGAGCAAGGGCCGGATGGTGCTTTCGGTGGTGATGTGCTTCGAGGGGTTTTTGATGCCATCAAGTCTCTTCGGGTGGTTGTTGCAAATCAGCGTGACGCGTTATCCGATGATATGCCGTCCTTCAGTCTGGGTATTACGCAGGATATAGCGGATTGTGGTTGGGGTGATATTGAGGCTGTGTTGCGGGACTTGGTCCTGTCAAATATTGGCATTCTTGATTCTGATGTGGTGGGTATTATGTCAATTTTGATTTTATTAGTTTTATAAGGTTGTTTGGCCAGTTTCTTGTGTGCATTCCGCTTAGTGGTTACATTATGTGGGTTTTGAACTGTTTTTTTGCTTTTGTTTTGACTTTTTAAGCTCATTGTTGTCTTGTTATTATTATTTTTTGTTTTTGCCGAATAGGGTGGTTCAAATGGTGGTAAGCATGTGGCTGGTTCTGAGGGTGCTCGGCCGGCGGTGACTGGTGAACCTGCGTCTGCCTCTCATCCGGTTGCTACACCTGTGTCTGCTGGGGTGGTACGTATAATGTGTTATGCGTAGTTACTTAGGGATATGTTTCAATTTGTGGTTGCAAACATGTGGGTTCTTCTCGGCGGGGTGAGCATACTAGTGTTAATGTGGGTGCACATTGCATGTGGCCTATGTTTGATCTAGTTACTTGGTGAAATGTGGTGTTGTTCGATTTCTGTCTTCCGTAGGGTGGGGGTGCTGCAGTACAAGCTGGAGAGTGTGCTGTTCCTGGGCACGGTGAATTTGCGATGGCTACGCCAGTTCAGCATGGTTTGGTATGTGCTTTTGTTTTCCGTGTATGCAGTGTGCACATGAATTGACTGTGGTGTGTATGGCACTGTTCACTGGTTATTCCCACGGGTGCACGATCGCATGGTCCAGGGTTTATTACCTTTCAGCGCGATATCCCCCGTTGCGTGTGTTTTTTTGTGTTGTTTAATTATGTTATTTCGGTGTGCAGCCATCAATACCTGCGGGAGAGGCCATTGGGTGTCGGTCTGCCGGCCCTCTGTGTCAAGCACCTTTGAAACCTTGTCGGGGTGGTACTCGGGCGCCGAGTAGTGGTCCTCCGGGGGTGTCGCGCCTAGATATCGGCGCATCCGGTTCCACGAGTTCTATGGCTTTGCCCGACTTGGACAAACCGGATGAGGGAGTGATTTGCAATTGGTTGTTGTGTGCTGCAGATGCGAACATGTTAGTTTCTGAATCTATTTTTTGCTATGCAGATTCTGTTTCGTATGGTTAGTTCATGTGTTTTTTGTTTATCTTTGTGTGTTGTAGGGATGATATATTGTTCGATGTTACTGGTAGGGCTGCTCGATGGGGGGATTTGTTGTCACTTGCACCCGGGTCGTTGGTTGAGGTTGTCGTGGTAGATGCGTGGGCATGTCTTTTGAATTGTCGAGAGCGGTATAAGGCCCCTTCTGCCCCTTCCCGTTTTTTTGCATCCACTCTTTCCACGGTTTGTTTCTAGTCCGTACCCTTATGGTAAGGTTTTTTTTTTTGTGTGTGGTTATGTGTTTTGATTTTGCATATTTTATTGTTCTTGAAGCTTCGTACGGTTGTGGATACCTCTCTTGATCTGGATAAGCGGATTGCTATGTTTAAGGAGAGTCTCTACGGGGAGTTTGAGATGACGCCTTACCAGCATATTAATGAAGTTGACATGGTATGTTTGGATTTCTGCTTTTTTCAGTGTACTGTTCCTTGCCCCTATTGTTAGTTCTGTTGTGCACCCGGTGGCTGCCTTCTGTGCACTCAGCCCAGATTTGGTTTTACTTTTTGGTGTGGGATGCTTTGCTTGTAGTCATTGTATGTCTTCACCCATTCATGGTTGTTGGTTGCAGTTTATGTTTCCCATCCTGCGCCAGGGACACTACTTTCTTCTTTGCGTCGATTTTCGTAATATCCGCTTTGAGATTATTGACAATTCGACGCTTCAGTCCAACAAGCAGTTGAAGTATGGTGATTGTCCGGATGACTTGGTAGGGTTTTTGTCAAACTTTTTGTACTTGTCTGATTGTGTGACCAGGCTTTTACTTGCTTAACTTTTTGTTATGTGTCTTTTTGTTTGGTATTTATTCGACACTTGGAATTTTGTTGTAGTTGCACATGCTTATGGAGTTCTTTAAATCCATCGACCCGACAAGGTCTACGATGTGTGAGCTTTTGGATGCGAAGCGTATGCAGATGAGCTGGCGGGATGGCAAGAACAAGATTGACTGTGGCGTGTATGTTATGCGTCATATGGAGAGTTATTTAGGTCAGGGAGTTACCAGATGGAAATGCGGGCTTACCAAAGGTAACACTGCCCAGCTCAAGAAGCTGAGGTTGCGATACATGAAGGAACTTACTACCTCCGAATTCAATTTACATAAGTGTCGAAATATCTCCAGGGCGTATCATTCCGTGAAGTCTGTATCAGGGGCTCTATAGTGGAGTTTTAGTTCGTAGTTTTTTTGGTTTTGGATTTTGGCCTCCTTTTTGCAGTTTTAAGGCCAGTGGTGTTATTATTTTCGATGGTGATCTTATTTGCGAATCTTAATTATGGTTTGTATATGCCTGTACTGGTACATGCATTGTGCTCATGGATATTATTATTATGATTATTTTTAATGGTAGATTTAGTTCGTTATTAGCGTGTATGACAACTACTGACATCGGGGTGTGCACGGTGACGGTAGGTAGTGTGCATAGCTTGATCGGAATATTAACATCGGGGGGTGCACAGTGACGGGTTGCGTTTGCACAGGATCGGCATACTAGTTGGCGGGTTGCGTTTAAGGCCAATTTATTGGAAAACTCTGTGTGCACAACGATGGTATACGATGTGCGTAGCTGCGAGTCTTAGTTATTTTGACTAAACTGGGTGTGTGTGCAATGGTGGTAGACGGTGTGCATAGCTGCGAGTCTTGCCTACTTGACTAAACTGGGTGTGCACATTGTTATTAGATGGTGTGCGTTAGCAAAACAAATAAAGTAGTTGTCTATTGCCATACATGGTTATTAATAAAATATGTATCCAATGGGTGGTAGATAATGTGCATAGGTGAAAAAACTAATTACCAATAATGGGTGTAAATCTAAACTTTGACAAGTATTTAATTGAAATTCCAAATGAGCTAGTATTCATAGTGATGTAAAATACAAACGGGCTACTCGTCTGGTAGGGCTTTTCTTTCTGGACAGTTCCTGCTGTCGTGCCCCGGCCGGTCACAGGTAGCGCATGTCCTCACCTTTTTCTTCCCTTTTTCAGTTGCTTTCGCTTTGTTGCTTTTTAATCTTTTCCCACTACCTTTGTTTTTTGCAACGCTTGGTGGTTTGATTTGGATCTCGGCAGGTGCAGTGGCGTTTAGTATTGATTCGATCACTGATTGTGGGGTGGTGCTTTCTCTGGTTTGTTGTCTGGCGCTTTGTAACCTCCCTTTAAGTTCTTGCATTGTTGATAACATTATATCCATTTCGGTTGGGCATCCATTAGCCAATCCCATGCAGTTGTAGAACTCATTCCAAAGTTGGTTGGCAATTGTTCGTAATTCATTCCCACCCTGTGTATTACTGCATGCTTTCCACACAACATTGTACATTGGCTGCGCACACGCACTTTTAGTCCATCGGGGAACAATATAGCATCCTGGTATTTCTTCCACGCCTTCGTTCTTGAACACGGCCAACACATGCCGACATAATAGTCCTACTCTGTTGAATTTGTTACAATTGCATTCTGTTCTTTTAGTAGATTCTTCGTGCGTTACCTCAAATATGTTTCTCCCCGTTTCATGAACAGTGTACTTGTAACCCCCATCATCCTTTGTCTTGCATGTGATTTTGCATGTGAAGCTTCCTTCCCATATTTCTTCCTGGAAGTCGTAGAATATGTTTTTGGTGTACATTGCAGCAGCTTGGCGTTCTATGGCCAATGGGGTTTTGGTTTCAGGGAATGAACTTTCGCCCTCGGCGTCCAGTTGTTTTTTGTGGTACCTCTGTTCTCCGATGGCGCGGTTGTATTGCATTATGAACTCTACCAAGCTGTTGTGGTGATTGGTGAATTTGCCAAAATAATTGTTCTCTGATTCTGACCGTGATGTTGTTTTGAGTAGTCCCCCATGAATATATCTTGGAAATATGCAGGTATCCATGATGCACGGGCTTTGTACATTTGATCAAACCACTGGTGTTGAACAAGGTTGTACTCCTGCATTACCTTTGCCCATTTCAATTCGAATGCAGTTACACTTAAAGTTTCGTCCCATACTGCATTGTTCAGTGCCTTTCTAAACTCCATGTTTTGTGCTAGTGCATTCCCTACCTTGTCCCCCACTTTTTCCATGATGTGCCACATACAGAATCGGTGCCTTGTTTCCGGCATAATGTTAGGTATTGCGACCTTTAATGCAGGGTCTTGATCTGTAATAACACATATTGGTGTATAGCCCATCGCGGTTTTGAAGTTTTTTAATAGCCACTCGTATGACTCCACGTCCTCTCTTGCAATGAGGCCTGCCCCAAATATAATGCTCCGTTTATGGTTGTCGACTCCTGTAAACGATACAAATACGAGCTTGTATCTGCATGTTTTATGTTGTAAAGTAATTAGTGCACACGCGTATAATCGTAATAACAGCTTTGCAGACAGCGATACGTAAAACAGTTACAAAATTGATGATTCCTACCACAGTTAGCGAATGTTTTTTGGAACCATGGTAGTACTGCCATGCACACAGGGATTCATACGAGTGCACACTGCACCCTTTGCCCAGTTTAACATTTAATTACAAGCACCCATACGGTTAGTGGTATTAAAAGTACCTCATGCTTATTACCCATGCATACTGTATGTAGCCGACTATCATGCTCTAGTCCAGTGGATATTCATTATAATTGTAAGTCAGTCGCGTGCAATTCAGGGGTATAGATCCCTATGCACACTTACATGCATAGTCGTGCACTCAACCTAATTGGCTCCATAACCACAGGTTCGGCCACTCCCACCCCCATTGTTAAAGAAAAATAAATGGCATGATCATACAGTTTTAAACGGCCATGTACACAAACATTTTTCTTAAATTAAATTATTTTAATTGTTGTGATGTGTACCTTTTTGTGCTGTAAGTTGCGTCGAATGACACCACATCGCCAAAACATGCATAATTCTTCCGGGATATCGTGTCTGCCCAAAAAAGCTTGCATAGCTCCCTGTCTTCGTTGAGATCAAAATCGAAGTAGAAGTCTGGTTCCATCTCTTTATTTTTGTACATATCTTCTACTACCATTTGTGCATCTGCTCCGGCAATATATGCCAACAAGTCCCTTCTAAAATTGCAGAAATCGGTGGATGTTGCTCCTATATCTGAAAAACTTCCAACCATTTCCTTGTATAGCCTCCATGATTTTGTGGAACCAATGTTTGCCCTTGCACAGTTTGCTACGAATATTTTGTGTCCAATATCTAGCTTCCTATTTATTTTAAGAAATGGCCTCCCTATGTCAGAGCATAGGCAGTGTGTGTGCCATAGCTCAAGTGCATGGATTATGTAGCTACTGGTTTTGTGTCTTGTGAACCCGATTCGGGCGTTACAACCAACACGAGTTGATAGCCGGCGCCTTTTCTTCGGTGAGGTGGTGGTTCCTTTGTTGCTACTACTCATTTTTTTGGGCTTGTATCCTTCCCGTGAGCATAAAATATATTTTATATGGACTGCCCCTGCCCTGTTCCATCGCTTCGTCCCGTGTCGGATATCGAATCCGGTGATGGCTGCGTATGCCTCGTAGTAGTCTACTCCGTTTTCTAGTGATGCAAATTCTTGCCCAATGTATGGGGTGTTTTCGCTTTTGCAATTCGGTAACCATTGCTTCGTTCCATCGGGTAATACTACCATGTTGCACTCCGTTGCTTCGTCTCCATTGTGTTGTGCTCCTATAAGTCAGAAATGGGATTTTTGGTCAAATAATAGAACACTTGTATGCCGATGTCAACACTGTTAACGCTATGTACAATATAAGTAAAAAATATGTGTAAGCACGTGTGTCCAAACTATGACGTCCTGTGTGCATTAAAACCTAGTTCTGGGTGCATCGCGTAGCCCAGATACGGGCGTGCAGACCTCACCACATCATGCTGCCCCGTATTGTTTTTCCCCAAAATTTAGTTCACAAAATGATATGCCTACCATAGGATTGCGTGATCATGTGGATTATCATTTATTATGACACCCATTAATTAGCACTCCATCCAACAGAGTTCGCTCAAAAAATTGAATCTTGATCATGGCCCTATTCAAACGATATACGGTGTACGTACCTGGGTTCAGAGCCTCCATGGATTCCGGTATGGCGTCGAATTGAATGGGGTCTATTCTGTCGTCCACGGTCGGTTGTAATTTTGGCCGTTCGTAATTGATTTTAGTTTCGTCCGGTATGGCGTCGTAATTTTGTCCGTTCGTACACAGGGTTTCGGTGGCCGTGATGGGATGTCTTCAAATCCTACGCACTTTGAACTTCCTTGTTCGTAGCATAGCATACCAGTGAATTCTATTCCTTTTCTGATTAATATGCTTCCGTGTAAGAGGGTGGTGCATTCCCTATATTACCCTTATGTTCAGTAATTGTTAATCCGTGTCGTAGTAATCAGCATTCATCTAGTCCATTGATCTAATCACATCTTGTGGCTAGAGTATGTCCGCACGTTTGTATTTTAAGGGGGTTTGTATTGGAATGCAACCCTATATATATATATATATATATATATATATATATATATATATATATATATATATATATATATATATAATTCTTGAAATAGATCTTTCTTGGCAAATCATAGCTCTTGGTAGTTTAAACTCTTCTCAAACATATTTATGATTTTCTATAAAAATACTTTTAAATATAAATAATCCTTCAAGGCTAAGTAATATATTAAATAGACCAAGATAGTTTCTCAAAAGGTGAAGTAGCTCAAGTGGAAGGGGCTTTGATTAATAATTAAGGGGTTAGGTGTTTAAATCCCACTTTAAATAATTTTCAAAAGCATGACATCATTAGGGAAAATTAAGCATCGAGATTTGATCCCAAGCCTTAAATCATGCACACTAGTTATCTAACCAGTGAGCTATAACAACCCTTGGTAATAGATCCGTTACAAGGGTCTGTTGCAGCACGACTCTTGGTAACGGATCTTGTATAGATAGTGAGCGTTGCAGCACGACTCTTGGTAACGGATCTTGTATAGATAGTGAGCTATAACAGCCCCTTGGTAACAGATCTTGTATAGATCTGTTACAAGGGTCCGTTGCAATACGGCTCTTGGTAACGGATCTTGTATAGATCCGTTACAAGAGCCGTTGCAGTAAGGAAACGAATTCTGTGCTCTCTGCTTCCCTTCTCTAAATAACACCAATCAGATACTTCAATCCCACAAAAAAATCACACAGTATATCAACAACAAATAACTTACATTCCATCATTCTAAACACCCAAAATACAAATATACACACACTTGAACAACTAAATCATATACGTAGGGCAAAATAATAAGTTTGGGAATCCTTGGGTTATACCTTGAGAATCCTTGTTCTTGTCAACACCATTTCTAAGCTCATCTCCTTAGCTTCATCTTCTTCCACCATCTCCAACTCTCAAGCAACCACAACAACCCAAAAACAAATCTAAGCTTAGAAAACCTCATCTTAGAAAACAAGCCAACAAAGGAATATGGAGAAGAAGAGATGAAATCTTACCAAGTCTTGGACATAGACTTTGCTAGAAGAAGCTCTAAAAATGAAGAAGATGAAGATGATAGGGAGAGGGAGAGGGAGTCACGAGAGTTTGCTGCTGAATTGGAGAAAATGAATAGTGCTACAAGGGAGAAAACTATCCTTTATACTTAGGTTTTGAGGGTAAAAATGTACTAGATCTCACCCTCGCTCCCCTAAGGAATAGTACGAGATCTGACCTCGCTCACTACTCTACAGGAGAGCCGACCTTTGACCGAGCCTACGGCTGCACTCTAGTCCCTAAGGGCCGGTACTGGATCCGGTCCAGCTAGCTACCCAACGGAAGGGAGTTTCTTGGTCAAACTTAAAGTTTGGTTACGAAAATGCTATCCCCTAAGGAATAGTACGAGGTCTGACCTCGCTCACTACTCTACGGGAGAGCCGACATAAAAAAAAAAAAAAAAAAAAAAAAAAAAAAAAAAAAAAAAAAAAAAAAAAAAAAACGAGGATCTTTGACTCAGTTTTACTCCCAATCTAGCTCAAATACATCCCAGACTCGAGAGTAGGGGGGCTGGTGACAGAGTAATGGTGCTAGCACCCAACCCGAGTTGTCAACAGGCACCTGACCCGGCACCCCGTGGAAACCCAACGGGCAAAACTCCAACGGCCAGAAGTCATTTACTACCTCGCTCATTCAAGACAAGGAAATAATGGCTCAGCTCCTCATTATGATATACGTACCGCCTCATCAAAGAATAGATATGAAGGGACCTACACTTATGAAGGGAGCCGTTGCACTTATTAGAAGGCCATTACTGCCTATTATTATAGATGTTACCATTATACTGTATAAGTAGATGATCCTTGGATGAGGAGGGGGACACGTTGAAGATTCAGTACTAAGACACACGCTCACTATTTTGTACTCAAACACTTGCAATACAACAATCCATTATTCTAATATTATATTTCCGGTAACATATTTACCGTCAGTCATATTCCTAAATAAGGTACATAATAATACAACTAATCTAAAATATTCTAAGAATAATCATATTTACATATTTATCTAATTTCCATAATCTAATACACCCCCATAGTCGAAACGGGAGGGTTATGCACGTTAAGACTATCTCGAAAGTCATCAAAGAGTTGTAGTGGAAGTCCTTTAGTGAAAATATCGGCAATTTGATAGCGTGAAGGGATGTGTAATACACGTGCTTGACCTCGAGCGACTTTTTTCACGAATGAAATGTATATCCATTTCAATATGTTTCGTGCGTTGATGTTAAACTGGATTG